AAATAAGCGTATAATTATTAATGTATCACCCTGTATATATATATATATATATCAGGCTTTTGCGAGATTCCGTTGATCAGTGGACTTATTGGTTCGTCTTGACCTAAAATGAGACCCCTAATTTTTTTAACATGGATATGTCATTGAGCTGGGGGTCAATTGGAAAATCTGTGCGAACGCTGAACGTTACCGACTATATATATATATATATATATATATATATATAGATATCGTTTCATGTGATTTGTGTTATTTATAGCTAAGTGTGAACATGACGGTGATATTCAAATATTGTGATCAATTGCATTTCATAATCTTGCCTAAGCGTAACTCGAAAAATATCTATATAAAACACGTGATTCGTGTACGTTTAATTTGCATGTGCATAAATGAAATACAGTGCTCGTTTGTGTTAAAAATATTATACAAAGCCAAAAGACAGTGTCTATTTTTTAGATACCCATGTTTAACTTGCATTTTAATAACGGTGTCCGACAAATACTCATGGTCTTTAGAATTTCAAGGCCAACATGACTTGTTGACGATTTTTTTAAAGTTATGATAAAACCACCTATGTGAATCATTTTTTTTCTTTACCATACAATGATATTTCAAGGTCATTGTGATTTTTCCGTCCTTGGGTAACAGGATTTAGGGAGGGGTGATTTTGGAATCTCTTATAGCAACCTGTATATTAATTTAGTTATGCTTGTTAAGCTATTTTTTTGGTAAAAGAGAATTTGACTGAACTTGAGTAGTAACAAAAAGGGGCTTTACCACCCATTTTATACAAATTTTAGTATAACCTTATATTTTGTTTTAGTATAGAAATTTCTTTAACAACATTGAGTGTTTTACTAAATAAGAAGTGGGAAAATAAATTATGTATAAATATAAAAACATGTTTCAAATAAACTATAGTCGTTTTAATACAATAAATTGTAGGACAATTTAAACAGTATAATAATGGACGATTATAATAACAAATATTACAAAAATAAAGTCCTAGTTATTGAACTAATAATTACACATCACAGTTTAACCTTAAAATTAAGATTTTGTAAAAAATTGCCTATTCTTTACTCCTTAAAAATGGGCGGTGCGACGCCCTTTTAATAACGGCGGGCCGGGGCCATCTAGAGGCAATGCCAATTTGGTTGCAGATACAGGAACATCAAGGAGCACGAAACCAAAAGTGACATTCCCCGGTTGTGGAAAAACATGTATTTCTCTAAATGGACATTTGGCTAAAGCCTCTGGAGCGTGTGCTCAAATAAGAGTTCATAGAATTATAGATGGCTTACCTACAGGCACTCAAGATAATACCCAACGTCAGACAATGGGTACGACCCTGGTAAATAATGTATTAAACTCTGTTGATAATGATATCTCCATTAATCAAATAATCCAAGAGGCAACACATTTTGAGACGGAATTTATTAGATTCATTCAACTACCACCTCAGATCGAGACAGTAGAATTTGTCGACTCTTTAGTCTCAAAATTTGTTTGCTTTCTGTTTGAGGCCAATAATCATCTCCCCGGCCCTGTACATCCGGCTGTAGCATACTACAGGAAAAGGAAAAAAGGATTAGCAACGACCGGGGATATAAAAATACGACAAATCCACAGAGATTGTCTAAACGGAGAAAAAAAGTGATCAGCGATCAATATAAATACGATTTGGCACAATGGCAATACGCAAATCAACGGCGTAAAGTAGCACAGCACGTGTTGAACTCCACTAAAACAGCTACGAAAACACCAAATCATAGAACTCTAGATGTATATCAACAGCAGTGAGTTAGAAGACTTTGACATCAAGCTATGCGATGTAGAGTTAGCAATCAAGAAGATATCCATCGATACATCTCCAGGGCCTGATGGAGTTGTACTCAGAACCATCCGAAAGGCTAAATGTGCACCTGCAATTTTAGCCATTGCTAAGATAATGTTGGCATGGGACTTTGTCCCATCAAAGTTGCGAACTGAGCGAACCATATTAATTTTTAAAGGTAAAGGCACAGAAACTGACTTAAAAAACTGGAGACCAAATAATATGTTCAGCGTCATTCGTCGCATAATTGAACGATGTCTTGACCAGGCAATAAGAGAAACGATCCACTTCAGCCAACTACAAAGAAGATTTATTAATGGAATATCCGGTGTTCACATAAACGCATCGATTGTGGACGGATGTTTTCGTTCAGCCATAGAAAAAAAGAGTGACATACGCACTGTAATGCTTGATTTGTCAAAAGCGTTTGATAGGATTGGTCATGATCACATAAGAAATACATTTAACTCCCTGCCACTACCTACGAATTAAACAAAACTGGTGACATCATTGGTCACGACAAATTCAACAAAGTTGGAAATATATAAAATGAGGTCCAACCAAATTCAATTACATTGTTGTGTCGCACAAGGGTCCCAACTATCATCGACTATTTTCAATGCATACCAAGACTATGCGCTCAAACAAATATCAGATACCGACATATCAAACACCTATGGCCAGTACAGTAACACCCACACCAGTATATTATACCGGACGAAAGCTAAGAGGCCTTGGTATCCTTACAGTGCAATGGCAAGCTTCACTTCAACATTAAAACATTTGTCAAACGCTCAGTCGTATTAACGATGCTCACTTAAAGTCGGCGAGAGATATCGATGAAGAAATTAACAAACAATTGGGTCTCAAACAATGTAGGATTAACCAGTAGTGAACGGACTAACTCAAAAAAAATGTCCATGAACACAATAGCCAATAGGGCAACGGGTGGACAAAGTCCAGGGAATAGCCACTGCAGAAATCCAATCTGCGGTGAGAAGCAACTAATGGAAACACTCCCTCACATTCGTGGATCCTGTCCCAGGTCTGAACTGTTACGCAACTCGGCTCACCACAAAGTTCGAACAATGATCGCGGATCTGTTTAGAAAACGCCACCAGGAAGTGTACGAAGAGATTCATTGTGTAGCGAAATCAGAAGCAGGAAACCAAAACAGAGTAAGTACTAACAAAAGGTTTAGTAATATGAAGATTATTTAATTTAATAGTTATTAATTAAAAAAACAATCACGGTCTGATCGTTTAATGTTTGCGTGACACAAACTCTAATTTTATTTCCCAGAACAAAACGAAAGTGAGTTTTGTTATCAATTTAAGATGTAATGTAACTGAGTCACAAACTATTAGACCATATTTTTATGAACGGAATCTCAGTGATAAGAAATAACTATTTAAAACAAATAAAATGCCAACGTTGTTGAAAAATTTACCGTTACAGAAATATCATGAGTGGGAAACCAGAAAACAAAGTTAAGTTCTACGAATCGCCTGTCGGAACTACCGGCTTAAATTAAGCTGATAATTACTAAACGTTTACTAAAAATAAATAATAAGATTACTAAACTTAGCTGTGATGAATGTTTTTGGAGATTCTTTATAACGCAGCTTACAAATATCTAAAGTCTTTAGGAAACAACTCCGTCAATTAAGCAGTCAATTTTATTGTATTGTTTTATTAATAAAGTAGTTTATATAAAAAAAATATTAAACAAATTACATGTACAGATCAACATTTTTTTATGTATTGAATATATTGAACATAACAAAGTGACATACTAGCTCATTAAACAAATATATACATTTTTTCATAAATTTAATTTTGTTTATAAAGTGCTGGCGTACATTCAACTAAATCAACTTTAAAATTAAGCATGTTTTTTGGAAAAATTATGGAATTAATAAATCTTTTTTCCTAAAAGTTGCAGAAAATTTGACTTTATATGTTTTAACCGTAGTGATTGGAACTAAAATTAGACTCAAAGTAGAAGTATACAAAGTTAACTGTATAGTTAAAATATACTACATGTTAGATTGGTTTTATATGTATTATAATATTAAAATAATTTTCAATGACAAAAAATACTGCGAATACAAGAAAACAACAATTTTCATATAATTATATGCATATAGTAGAAATCGACTTAATTAGACCAAAAAACACTCGTGTTTCAGTGAATCATTTTCGCATTCAAAACATATGAACAAATAAGAACAATCACATCGACAACAACAGCAGGCAACGCAAAAACAATTTAGTTTTACCAGTAAGCGAATAGGTTTTCAATTCAAACTTACGTGTCGATAAAATATCTGTTTGACACATTTTTTAGCGTGGAATAATATACCGTTGGTTTATAAAACACATTTTAAAAACGGTTAACGTCGTGTAGGTAAATTATTCAATATATAATCTGCTCAAAATAAGTTTTGAAAACTATTACTGAACCTCAAGTCTATAATGCGTACAAAAATGGGTTTAAATACTCGAAAGCCTAAAATATAGGTTAGATGCATCATCAAATATTTTCTATACGAATCTATAAAAATAACTAGGGGGCCCATACTCCATGCTTAAGACCCCCAGTCTCTAGAATGGCTTTCATAAAACCCAAAGGCTTCATATAAAAATGTACCGTATTTTCAATAACCAGAAAGAAAATAGGGGTTGCTGGTTAGTGTTAACCGATCGACGGTTACCAATGTAGGATTTAATCATTTTATTATACAATTTTAGCTTGAAAGTTGATAGTTATTTTCTCTTACAATATAATACTTTTTTATTATATTTAATCCCGTGATAACTATTTAGTTTCTAAATCGCTTATTTAAAAAAAACATATTTATATACAATATATATATATAGATTTAGCTGATCAATCAGATATCGCACCACAATTTAATATAAAGTTTAAAACGATATGATCAATTTCCTAAAATGTATTATCTACTCCCAACATACGGTTTTGGCTACCTACTAATTGTGATTCAGTAAAATATTACAATAACCGAAAACCAGAATAAAAAAATACAATAATACACAAAATATACAATATACAATTTTGTGTAAACAATCAAATAGCAAACACATAAGCTTATAGAATTTCGTCACTAACAAAGTTTTTCTGTTAGTTCGTTATTTTAACTTCAGCGGCAATAGTCGTTCTATTCTACACGTACTTCATTGGATTTCAATTATTTTAAAAACTATTATGCATTTTAAAAGTGTTGTTATTTTCTACGCGGTGTATTTCTTTACATCAGTATGGGTAAGATACTAATTACTCTAAAATAATATTTCCTAAAATAAATATAATTATATACTTGAACAAGGTGACTTATGTAATTAATTTAGTCCTAAAACTTATACGTTAAACTATTATGACCTTAAACATTTAAAAGGTAACGCATATTATATTTTATCCCTTTTTTTTAAAAAAAAAATTACTACAAATATTGACTGGTCGAAAACTAGTTTTGAAAAATTAGTTCTTAAAGGGATTGCATGCGGTCTGCTTTTAAGGAGTTTTGTAGGTAATATTTAAGAAAAAAGAGGTTTTATTAAATTTCGACCATGTCGATTAATATATCAGTTAGTTTGTATATGACTCAAGGTATTATTTTTAGTTTAAACAATTTTTTCTATGAGTAAAAGCCATTTCGGTTTATTTTAGACCAAAATTCCATAAAAAAATTCGACTACATAGAATGGTCCAATCTTAATTGTGCTAAGAGATTTACATTTTTTGGCTGTTTTACTATGTTATATAAGAAGTAGATTTTTATTTAAAAATTTCTGTTTCTTGTAATTAATAAAATTAAATATGTACTTTTTCAATATTAAAACCCAATTTTTTTACATAAAAAAGGTTAACAATTAAAAATCGGGTTTCTATATTAATTATTTAGGTTGCCTGAGAACTTCTTAGATCTTAAAAAAGATACATTTTTGATAAATTTATAATATTGTAATTCTTAGTAAACATTAGTAAAACTATAATATTGAAATCGTTTTACCAGAAAATGAGTGTCTTACATTTGATATATCACCCGGTACTAGTATTTAACTATAAACCATTTTACTTTACTTAGAGCACCGGACTAAATAAGGAGCAAATAGAAAAATGTATTTTACTATACAAATATCCGATTAATATCCCACACAGTAAGAAGGAGGATTTTGGAATTAAATATCCGAATATTGATTTTGAATGGAAATTTAACCAGCCACGTCATTTCAATATTAAGAATTTAGTTTTGGCGTTAGCGTATGAAGGAACAAATGACAACTTTGAGGTATTTGATCTTATAGAACTAGTTTAACATTAAAACATTTCAACTATTAACAAATTTAAAAATATCACAGATACATGTTAGCGAAATATTCGTGTATGTTTAATATTTTACATAGAATCGAATGCTGACGTCCTTTGAAGTAGATTATTACGTCAAAATGTTTTATGAATATACCATAAATTTAAAACGATGGCTTACTCGTGAAGATATAGTAAATTTTTATACATACTTAAAATTTGAAGGAGAACAATTATATCAGGCCGTATCATCAACCCCTTGGACTGAAAGTGGTAATATTAAATTAAGGTTGAGGTAGTCGTTTACATCAAGTTAACAAACTACATTTATTACATTTTAGGTGTGGCTTTTGAATCCGCAGTGGAATTCTTGTCGGTCATGATAGATTTTCTACCTGAAGTAAGCAAATATTCATGCAACGAATAATAGCATTTTTAGGAACATCAAATGGAAACCGTATAAAAGAAGATTAAACGAAAAATCATTGTATAACAATTAGGAAAACTCGGATAGGATTTAAAAAAAAAAATAAAAGAACAAGATCTTACTATTTGTAATTTTTGAAAATTGCTAAATAGTAATTATTAAATCGCTAAAAATTATACAATTGCATATAATAAAACACGCGTACACATTTTTTTTATAGCTGACTTATATTTATACTTTTTGCTTATTTTTTAGGGCAATGGTCTAAACGAAAATCAAATAAAAGAGTTCATGGACTTGTATCGATCACATATAGCTGAAGCAACCGGTAGCATTGATCCTTTGGAAGTTAAAAAAATTTTCAATGGGTTTGGTATGTTTATGCCGCGAGAAGAGCAATTTGATTCTTACCGTAAGAATAAAGTATAAATATAATCACGTTAGATGTACTCTGAGTTCTTATATAATATATTATAATTGAAACTTGCACAGGGCCCGCTGCAATAGAGTTGATGGAGTTGATGATCGTTACTGCAGAACGTTCTAGGACAGTTCACAAAAATGTAATATCAATTATTTTTACCAGGGTGCTATGTAAAGTTTGCTATACATTGTTTAGTTGATGTAGTGAATAATACAATTATATGAGACGCATATTGCCAGTAAAGCTTAACATATTAAAAACTAATTTTTTTGAGAATAATATAATATAAAAAAGCCAAAGTTATCCAAACACAGCGCGATAGAATGTTATTTTATTTAGGAAAAGTACTAGGATCCTATGCGTAAAAAGTGTAAATATATTATTCATAAAGAAAGGGACAATGGTTGCGGTGGCCGTTAAGGTCTTACTACTTTTTCATTCTTTCATTTCTTTCATTCCTTGTGTAAACTCGTTGTTTAAGTGTGAATTTCACTTGGTTATTTTACGAGTAGTTAACGAGGGGTGTACAAGGAGTGACAAGCTTAAGAATTTTTACAAGTTTTGTGGTCAAAATATAAAAGCATCTTACTTAAATATGCAATACATATTAATTGTACATCTTAAAAAAAAAATCGTAACGGTTATACGGATCAGTAATGCTAAAGCATATCCATTTAAAATCCATTTGCTGTCATGCATTACTCCCCAGGGGAAAAATAAAAAATTGGTCCAACTTTTTTTTAGTTATACCAACTAGAATTTTATTGTGTCGCTATTTAACCATTTTTTTAGTTGTACTAATTATATATTTTTTCTGTGCCTATTATTTAATTTTTCGTTACACGCTTTACATAGTTTTACTTTGTCTTTTTTTTAGGAGATTGTGTTGAGTACACAAGAGGTCAGATTATTGGTAGCTGGTTTTAAAAGATATGACACGGACCATGACGGTCTGCTCTATGAGAGCCAAGCAAAAAGGTTTCTGGAAGATTCACTCACTAACAATCCGCAATCTTCAAGAACGATTGATTGTGGAAAAATTTTGGAGAAATTTCTATCATTATTTGATTTTTCTTCAAAAAAAATGAACATTGCGGAATTTTTATTTTTCTACATATCAAATAAAACAACTGTTGAATAAGCATTAACATATTATTCGAATTATTGAAATGTTTAAATTTATTTATTAATTATAATATTTGAAATATTGCGTTTTAATGTCTTATACCTATACAATAAAAATAAAATTATATGGTTTTTTTTTTGTCTCAGAATATGTAAGAATAAGTATTACAATGATAATTAAACAATTCAGTACCTAAATTTAATTGTTTTAATTTATTAAATACCTAATATAAGTTTTATAACACTATTTTTTTTTCGAAATTTCGTTTTTTTCACGCAAAGTGGTCTTAGACGGCGTACTAATATCTGAGTTTGTTTATAGGCCATTATTTTAATATGGTTTGTGTGTTTTAATTGGCAAACCATCATCTTTTACAATAATTATAAGGAGAATATCGCTCAAAACAGTTTTAGTCAAATGGTGTTAGTTTTTGTAATATTATTTTTTTTATATATCTGGAACAATCTAATCGAGTAGAACGATTTTTTCTAACGCGTACTGAAATTTTTTGCTAGAGGCCCAAATTTGGGTTTCCAACTGATATTGTATCATGCTTTTTTATTTACTTTGATTTTACGTTGGAAAAAATGCGTTAGTATAATATTATAATAGCAACAATATGGCGTGTAAACAACACATAGTTGGTGATATTTTTTGAGTCTTATTTACCTTAAATTCGTATCGATGACATATGAGTAATAGAACGCATGGAAAAAAACTTTACACTAGTCTATGTACCCAGAGTTTTCGTGCTATTAAATGCAATAGTATATTAAAGACTTGGATGTATTTTGTATAAACATTTTAGCTTCGATGCAAAGCGAGAAGGTATTGGTTTTACTCTGATGTGGGCTTTTTTTTTCGCTGTATACACTGTAACTTTTTTAATACTAGACCAATTCCTTTGAATAGCAACTCTATAAATCACAAATTTTGTCTAGTTTGTACTTTGGGGGGGTAAAAGTCGAAAAAGTTTAAGTCTTCATAGACGAAAGTTGAAAAAACAAAAAAAAAACCGTACGAGTTTTTAAGTTAGAACTTTTACTGGCTATAGTATCGAGAAAAAGAGTCGGATCGAGTTGAAATGTATAAGAAATATTTATTTGTTATGCCCGCGCACGTCAGTTTTGTCAAATTCAAAATATACCCATTTCCCGCCCCCTTAGGGGGGGTACAAGTTTTTTTGTTTTTCGGGGTTTTTAGCCGTAATTTTAAAACTTTTGGGTTGAAAATTTGCCAGTAGTTGGAACTCATATGTATCCATAACATATTAAGCGGGTGAAAAATTCGGCACAACAGTTTTTTTTTAATTGCCGGAAAACCGTGTTTTCGCACATTGCGTATATTTTAACAAAAACACCTAAAATCTTTAAAAAAAATTGATCAAATCATTAAAACAATTTTATTTATATCTATACAGAATGATACTATTAGGTTTTGTGCTCAAGTACCACTCTTGACTTAAAGTTTACACAAATTCAATTTTTTTTTTTTTTTTACTTAAGTTCTTTCCGGATGATTAAAATTCAGAACTGATATTAAATTCGTAATCACCGACCCAAAAAACATATAATTTGACCACTTTTGATGTCTTTTACACAAAAATCCAGAAAAATGTTTTAGCTTCGATGCAAAGCGAGAAGGTATTGGTTTTACTCTGATGTGGGCTTTTTTTTTCGCTGTATACACTGTAACTTTTTTAATACTAGACCAATTCCTTTGAATAGCAACTCTATAAATCACAAATTTTGTCTAGTTTGTACTTTGGGGGGGGTAAAAGTTGAAAAAGTTTAAGTCTTCACAGACGAAAGTTGAAAAAACAAAAAAAAAAACCGTACGAGTTTTTAAGTTAGAACTTTTACTGGCTATAGTATCGAGAAAAAGAGTCGGATCGAGTTGAAATGTATAAGAAATATTTATTTGTTATGCCCGCGCACGTCAGTTTTGTCAAATTCAAAATATACCCATTTCCCGCCCCCTTAGGGGGGGTACAAGTTTTTTTGTTTTTCGGGGTTTTTAGCCGTAATTTTAAAACTTTTGGGTTGAAAATTTGCCAGTAGTTGGAACTCATATGTATCCATAACATATTAAGCGGGTGAAAAATTCGGCACAACAGTTTTTTTTTAATTGCCGGAAAACCGTGTTTTCGCACATTGCGTATATTTTAACAAAAACACCTAAAATCTTTAAAAAAAATTGATCAAATCATTAAAACAATTTTATTTATATCTATACAGAATGATACTATTAGGTTTTGTGCTCAAGTACCACTCTTGACTTAAAGTTTACACAAAGTTCATTTTTTTTTTTTTTTTTTTTTTTAACTAAAAACCCAGTGTACTAGATGTGAGAAACGAACAGACACTAAAAACTATCAGTTGGTAACGTCTATCCGTGTTAGATTAGTTTAGGGCCCAATGATCGGTATCATAATATTGTGTTTATTACATGATATCACAGGCGACTAAATCGTGTAACTGATTATAGTAGACACTCGATTTATTGTGAAAAAAACCTGGTCGTGTACTTATTAAGACACTTAATGATTCTGATACGACAAAACCACTGTCGTTATCTCGTTATTTTATAGCCTGCGTTATATAACCTTACCGAAGGTTAACTATGAGTATTTAATGTCCAACTACCTGCAAATAATGAAGAGGACTGTTGTTTTTTGGATTCAGATTAAGTGTTGGTTTTTATGCAGTATACCGACTCAAAATGTTTTTTTTATTACACAATTTTTTTAAAGGAAAACTAATGTTTTGTATATTGTTATACTGTTATTCATTTAAAGAGATTCACGCTTGATTGTTTAAATTGTCTAATATTAGATAATCTGCTTCGTGCTAATTTTATTTTTTTAGTTTATCAACTTGTAGCTCTAATTTTGTAAAAAATATTTCATTATTTTATTACTATGTACTATTACTATTAAGATAAATTTTAATAATAATTAAGTCATAAATGATAATACTTTATTTTATGACTAGATCAAATCTTGTAAACATTTAACATCATGATACTGCTCCTATGCTATCATTAAAAAAACACAATTTTTAAAATCTCCATTAAAGGTTATTGTTAAATAACAGGCAACAGCCGACTGCTAGTGGCTATACACGTTAGTAATATTTAACTAATAAGTAATAAATGTAGGTAAAATTTATTGTTTTCTCCATCACAGTACCAGTATACGATTTATTTTAATTTAAATGTAAGAAAATCGATTTTTCTTTAGAAAATAACAAGAAATTAATATACAG